TCCTGTAAGGCCTTAGTCATATGGTGTCTTCTAATTGTTTTCACATTTACTGAAGTAGTTCCTCTTAATACATGTTTCCTGCCTTGGAAGAAAAATTGCATAGACAATTTGTTGAAATTCCATGTAATATCACCAAGTGTTACCAGCCACTCCACTCCCAAAACTAGATCACAACAGCCCAGAGGAATCAACATAATATCACAGCTAAACTGAGTGTTTTGTAATGACCAAACAAAATTCTTTACCATGGAATCAATCAGCACCCGAGTGCCATCAGCAACAGACACATTAACAGGATCCATTTTCACAATTCTACAACCTAATTTCTTAGCAACTTCCACATCTAAGAAATTATGTGTGCTACCACTATCAATTAGCAAATGCAGAGGTTTTTTTCCAAAATATCCTGTCACTCTCATTGTTCTGAAATTAGCTATACCAGTCATAGCGTTAACAGAAATTAAGGGATTACCATCCTCCAAGTTTGCTGCCTCAAGGTTACGAGAATCAGCCTCCACTGGAGCCTCATCATCAGTCACCTCAATCACATGTATCTGAAGCTTTTTATGAGTCTGAGCATGTGCAGTAGAGAAGGGTTCATCACAGAAGTAGCATAACCCCTTTGCCCTTCTGTCATTCATATACGCAGGACTAAGCCTATTGGTGGTTTGTGTTTGGTTTTTATTGGCGGCCTGTGTTTGAGGTCCAGGAGTGGAAAGCAGGGGTTCAGAATTTTTGTCAGGTTTGGATGAAGGAAAGGTTTGGGAAGAGGTTGGTTTGGTGGGCTTTGGGAAGGTCTTGGTAACACTAGAATTGGTATTGGCAGATTCATACATCTTGGCTAAGGAGAAGGCTTTCGTCACTGAACTGGGTTGGAACATTCGCACCATCATTTGTACATCATGACGCAAACCTCCCAAGAAACAGCTTAGTTGATTAACCTCCGAAAGTTCCACTTGAGAAACTAGTTGATCAAAAGTTTCATGGTAGTCTTGAACAGAACCTTTTTGTCTTAACTTCATCAACTCAGCCATAGGATCCTCACATACATCACCAAAACGAGCAATTAGGATCTTGGTGTACTCACTCCAAGATGGAAGATTCAATAAACCCACATTCTTGACATAGGCATTGTGCCATTGCAGGGCCTTGCCCTCAAAATGAACCACTGCCAATTTCACTTTGCAATCCTCCGGTGTATCATCCACAGAAAAGAAGGTCTCGCATTGAATTAACCATTGTTTCACGCCATCTCCGTTAAATCGAGGAAAATCGATTCTAGCCAAACGCGTGCGACAAGAATAGGATCGAGAATGATGACCGGAATTGGACATAGCATTGCTTTCTTGATTGCAAAACATTTCTTCCAGATTGTTTCTCAGTGAAGCTCCAATTTCCATGAAGCGTGCTTCCAAAGAAGTTCCAAGATCCGAAAAACGTGTCTCCATTGAAGCCTTAAAGCTCTCAAAATCTTCACGAACGGTGCGAGTGTTGTTAGCCATGGAAATCGTGGTTGGAAGGTTACCTACTGATACCACTTGATACAGAAATTATAGGAAGAAGAAGAACTTCGAAGATTTCGGGTGATAGGGATATCAAAGAAAAAGAATGATATCCGAACTTTATTGATATTGGGATGAAAGATACAGAGAAGAATTCTTGGAGAATTTTATACAACATGCTGATTCAATTGAATCTCAGCTAACTACTATATAATGAAGGTAGCCGTGACTTTTCCCGACCACTTCCCCAAAAGACAGAAGTTAACTAACTATTAACAGTTTGCCAACTCAGCAACTAACTACTGTTAATTCACCCGATTACAACTTGCTAATCTAATTTTCTTGTATCATCTAACATCCTTGTTGTGGGGTGTTTTATGTTGTTTTGTACGTTTGTTATTGTTTTGTCTGCATTTGTGCCTCTAGCTACTTCCCCAACACAATCTTTTTATATCGTAATTGGAAAGAAAACAAAAAAACCAAAAACAAAGGAAGAGAAGCACCGGGAGTTATACCAAACTCTCTTATTTCCGAAAGCAAATTTTATTTTCCATTCACTAGCCCGAACTGGGGAGGGTGGTATTCATTTTCCATTAACTAGCTGAAAACACCAGAAAAGCGAAAAGGTTGTTTCGTTGTTCTGAGACATTCCCTCATGGATCTGGAGTCTGTGATCTACAAAAACTCAATTAAGGTAAGCCATGTGGGAATATGAATATGTTGCCGAGTATGTGAAATTCCATTGAAAAAATAAACTTGAATTTCGACATAATACTCATCTCACCATGCAGGGGGAATCATGGAAGTGTCAGTAGCTTAAGTCAAAGTTTGTTTAAACATGTTTTTGAATAAGTCCTGGTTTTTAGAATCAGTTTCCTTTTTGTCCGGTCTGTTATCATGTAGCGTGGGGTTTGTTGCTATGCAACGTGGGTTAGGATTTTTATGTATTGTTTTTGCACTTCATGTAGGCTATATAAGCCACTGTTATTCCATTGAATAAGAGAACTTTCCCTTCAGTATTTTTTTACTTTATATTTCAGCTTTTAACAATTGGTATAAGAGCTTTGTAAAGGGCCTGATACAGTGTGCGGAGAGGAGCGAAACATCGAGCAGTGTGAGCAACAACACATGTGCATGTAAGGCAAGAGCAAGTGCGAAGAGAAAATTTGCGCAGCAAGTGTGAGGAAAGAAACCTATGCAATCACAGTGCATAAGTGAGTTTGAGAAATATCTCAAAGGTTAAATATGTCTGCATCTAAAAAATTTGTTCAACCAGCCATTCCAAAGTTTGATGTCACTATAACTTTTGGTCAATGACTATGAAGAACTTCCTATGAAGCAAAGAAATGTGGCATCTTCTAGAAGAAGGTATACCAACTCTTGCAACTGGAACAACAACTGAGGCACAACGAAAGAGTATCGAAGAGGCCAAACTCAAAGACTAAGAATTTCCTGTTTCAAGCTATTGACAGAGAAATTCTTGAAACTATTCTTGATAAGAGCACTTCAAAGGCAATATGGAGCTTTATGCAGAGGAAGTATCAGGGATCCACAAAGGTGAAACGGGCACAGGTTCAGGCACTGAGACGAGAGTTTGAGTTACTTACTATGAAAGAAGGAGAGACCATTGATACTATATGGGCATAACTCTCCATGTGGTCAACAAAAAGAAATCAAATGGTGAAGCAATGGAGGCAAGCACAGTTGTTAGCAAAATACTCAGATCCTTGACACCTAAGTTCAACTATGTTGCATGTTCGATAGAGGAATCAAATGATTTGGGTATTTTAAGCATTGATGAATTGCATGACAGTCTTCTGGTGCATGAGTAACGCATGCAAGGATTCCAAACAGAAGAACAAGTCTTGAAGATAACCGATGACGATCGACCTCCTTAGGGTAGAAGAGGCAGGGGTGCATTCAGAGGGGGACGCAGCAGCAAAGGAGGAAGAGGCATAGGCAAACAACCATTCAATAAAGCAATCATGGAGTGCTTTAAGTGTCACAAACTGGGTCACTTACAATATGAGTGCCCAGATTGGGAGAAGAAGGCTAATTATGCAGAGCTTGAAGGAGAAGACGAAGAGCTTTTACTTGTGGCATATGAAGAGGTTCATCAAACCATCCATGAAGAAGTATGGTTCTTGGACTCCGGCTGCAGCAATCACATGATAGGAAATAAGGAATGGTTTGCGGAAATGGAAGAAGGATTGTGCAGAACTGTGAAACTTAGAAACAATACCACAATAACAGTTGTAGGCAAAGGAAACTTCCGTGTACAAATTAATGGCATTACACAAGTAATCTTTGATGTCTACTTTGTCCCTGAACTTAAAAATAATCTGCTGAGCTTAGGCCAACTCCAAGAAAAGGGTTTATCCATCTTAATACAAAATGGTAGCTGCAAAGTGTTTCATCCAGAGAAGGGGTTAATCATGCACACTAGTGTGAAGGGAAATCGGATGTTTTATGTAACAGCCACTGCAGCACCCAAAGATTCCATGTGCATGCAAGCCGATACCACCTCAGACTAAGAAGCCCACCTGTGGCACTGCCGTTTTGGCCACCTTAACTACAAAAGACTAAATACACTTGCATGTAAGAAGATGGTCATTGGACTTCCATTGTTAAAGTCCCCAAAAGGAATATGCACTACCTGTCTCACTTGGCAAGCAGCAATGAGAGTCAATACCAAAGAAAAGTTTGTGGAGGGCCTCAAGACAACTTCAGCTGATTCATGCTGATATTTGTGGTCCCATAACACCATCCTCAAACAGTAATAAGAGGTATATATTAAACTTTATTGATGATTTTTTTCGTAAAACCTCGATCTATTTTTTGCAAGAGAAGTCAGAAGCATTCACTATGTTCAAAAGATTCAAAGCTTGCATTGAAAAGGAAACTGGTGCATCCATCACTTGTCTAAGAACCGATCGAGGAGGTGAATTTACCTCAATAGATTTTGAAGACTTCTACAAGGATCAAGGAATTTCAAGACAATTAACCATTGCCTATATGCCTCAACAAAATGGGGTCACTGAATAGAAAAATAAAACACTCATGGATGCAGTACGAGCAACACTGAACGAGAGACAAGTCCCCAAAGCAATATGGCCTGAAGTAGCTAAATGGTGCATCCATGTACAAAATAGGAGTCCAACTTCAGCAGTTGAACAGAAAACTCTAGAGGAAGCATGGAGTGGTGAAAAGCCAGAGGTGGATCACTTCCGGGTCTTTGGATGCTTAGCTCATGCTCACGTACCAGATCAAAAGAGAAGCAAACTTGATGACAAAAGTAAACGGTGTGTCTTTCTAGGAGTCAGTGATGAATCTAAAGCTTACAAATTGTTTGATCCTATAGCAAAAGGGATCATTATAAGCGGAGATGTGATCTTTGAATAAGACAAGAGTTAGGATTGGCAAGGAACTGGAGAAAGCCAAAAAACAATTATACATTGGACTGGGAAGAAGACATAAATGCAACTAGAAGTGAAGACCATGGATCTGTACAAGCAAGCATCGATGAGCCCAGACTACGAGGAACACGATTGCCCAGTTGAAGGGAGGGCGGTACGACTAAGAAGGAAACCAAATTGGATGGCAGATTACACAAACTTCTCTGTCGAAGAAGCAAGTCTAATGGCACTGATGATGGCAGAAAATGGACCCTCGCTCCTACGAAGAAGCCTCTCAAAGCTTGAAGTGGAGAGAATTAATGAATATGGAGATCAAAGCAATTGAAAGAAACAAAACATGGGAACTAAGTGATGCTCCAAATGGAGTCACACCTATTGGAGTTAAATGGATCTTTAAAACTAAGCTCAATAAACGTGGGAATGTTGAGAAGCACAAGGCACGGTTGGTGGCAAAAGGGTACTCACAGCAGTATGGCATGGACTACACCAAAGTGTTTGCCCCAGTAGCAAGGCTCAACACTGTGCGGATACTGTTAGCTTTAGCAGCTCAACACAGATGAGAGGTGTTCCAACTTGACGTCAAGAGTGTCTTTCTCCATGTTGAGCTCAAGGAAGAAGTGTACGTACAACAGTCTGAAGGTTTTATCAAAGAAGGAAATAAAGGCAAAGTCTACAAATTAAAAAAAGGCACTATACGGCCTTAAACAAGCTCCAAGAGCTTGGTATAGCAAAATTGAGACATATTTTGCTAAAGAGAATTTTGAAAAACGTCCCAGTGAGCACACTATTCTGATAGTTAGCCTTTATGTGGATGATCTGATTTTCACTGGAAACAATAGGAGAATGTGTGAACAATTTAAAGGCTCAATGATGTTAAAGTTTGATATGTCTGATTTGGGAAGGATGAGACATTTCCTTGGGATAGAAGTAATTCCAAGTGATGTTGGGATTTTCATTTGTCAGCGAAGATATGCTCAAGAAATACTAGCACGGTTCAACATGACAAATTGTAATCCGATAAGAAACCTAATTGTTCCAGGAACCAATCTGTCAAAGGATAAAGATGGCTCTAGAGTAGATGCTACAAAATTCAAACAAGCAGTGGGCAGTCTCATGTATCTAACAGTAACTCGCCCTGACTTAATGTTTGGGACCAGTTTGATTAGCAGGTTGATGGCCAATCCAAAGGAATCTCACTGGGCAGCAACAAAACGACTTCTCAGATATGTGAAAGGAACTGCAGAGCACGGGATTTTCTACAAAACTGGAAGAAAAAGTGCAAACCTTATAGCTTATACTGATAGCAACTATGCACGAGACTTGGATGATCGCAGAAGTACTTCTGGTCTAGTACTTGTTATGGGGTGTGGAGCTGTGTCATGGGCCTTGAAGAAGCAACCCGTTGTAAGCTTATCCACCACTGAGGCAGAATACATTACTGTAGCATCCTGTGCTTGCAATGTATTTGGATTAGAGGGATTCTAGAACAACTTGGAGCTGAAGAGAAGGAAGCAACTGACACAGTGATATTATGTGACAATAATTCTACTATTCAACTGTCTAAGAACCCAGTCTTTCATGGCAAAAACAAACACATTGCAGTACGATTTTATTTTCTCAGAGATATGGTAAAGGATGAAGTTGTAAAACTAAGTTATTGCAGTTCTAAGAACCAAGTTGCGGACATAATGACAAAATCTTTAAAACTTGAGAGGTTTGAAAAGCTTCGTAGCATGCTTGGAGTAATGAAGGTCACTGAAGTAAGCTAGCTTCAAATGCATCTAGCTTAAGGGAGGGAATGTCAGTAGCTTAAGTCAAAGTTTGTTTAAAAAGTCCTGGTTTTTAGAATCAGTTTCCTTTTTGTTCGGTCTGTTATCATGTAGCGTGGGGTTTGTTGCTATGCAACGTGGGTTAAGATTTTTACGTATTGTTTTTGCACTTCATGTAGGCTATATAAGCCACTATTATTCCATTGAATAAGAGAACTTTCCCTTCAGTATTTCTTTACAATATTTCAGCTTTTAACAGGAAGATAGTTTTAACTTTGGCTTATCAGAGTTTGGGCGTTGTGTATGGAGATTTAAGCACATCTCCCCTTTACGTTTACAAAAACACTTTTGCTGAGGACATTCAGCACTCAGAGAGCAATGAAGAGATATATGGGGTGTTGTCCTTCGTGTTCTGGACGCTCACACTGATTCCACTACTCAAGCATGTGTTCATTGTGCTAAGAGCAGATGACAATGGCGAAGGAGGAACCTTTGCTCTGTACTCGCTGCTGTGCAGGCATGCCCAGGGGGGTTTGTTGCCTAATGTTCAGCTTGCAGATGAGGATAGAACAGTGCCAATTGATAAGAAAAATATTGGGTTGGTGTTGAAATCGGTTTTGGAGAAACACAAGGTGCTGTAGAGGGTGCTGCTTATTCTGGCTTTGATTGGGACTTTTATGGTTATTGGTGATGGTGGGCTTACGCCTGCAATTTCTGGTATTGGGGTTTGCTATATTGTGTTTGTGTTTTTTGGGTAATTGACGGTGGATCTTGATCACTGAAATTTTTGGTTTTTTGGTAATTATGCAGTTTTCTCTGCTGTGTCGGGCTTGGAACTTTCCATGTCTAAGGAGCAGCATAGATGTAAGTTCCTATCTGAATACAAGTAATTTGCTTTTGTTTAAGAAGTCTTATTCATTTCATTATTTGCAGTTTTTTTTTTTTTTTTTTGGTTTGCTTTTTATAAATTTTAGATGAGGTTATATTTTAGTTTGTTTTCTTGGGAGGTTAAGCATCCATGAACAAGAGAGATATATGTTAATTTTAATGAGCCACAGGGAGGTTTATTATCATTGAAGTTTAGTATTGGATATTTGTTCTGTTTAAATAAATTTTGAGAAAAAAATTTATAGGAGAAAAAAATTAGTATAAAACATAATAAAATTTCACATAACTTAACGATCAAAATAATTAATTATTTTTAATCAATTTAGCATGACACTGATTTTTTTCTCTTACAAAAACTTCTCCATAAATTTATCCAAATTGGTTCATTCTGTCAGTTTGTATTACAATTGCACACATAATTATAGAATTGAAATTGTCAAAATTCAATTTTGATTAGTAAATTCCAAAATGCTTGACATCTGGAACTATTCCTTGGAATATTTTCATTGTGGTTGTTTTGTGGAGAGGACATTTCCGCCTTGAATGGTACATATGCTGTAAGAAATCAATCATAAAATTATTGTTGTTAGGTATCAATATTTTTGGTTAATGTTATTTTTAATAAAATCTATTTGAACTTTTAAATGCTTCCCTTTTATTCTAACAATAGCAAGTCGTTTAAATTAGTGGACAAAAAGGGGGAACCAAATGCGTCCAAGGATGCAGTATTGTGGTCCCTATAAATATAATCAGGGCCAACTTCCTTGTTTTGATCAAAGTCAAATCACTGTCATGCTAATGTTAAAATACATAATTCCTGCCAACTTGATAATATTGAACATAAAACTTGTGGGTTGTGGCTGAGATGCAAAGCATAGCATCATTAATTAGAATATCAAGCACAGAAAGCTGAGAATAGTCATTCCTTTGTAAGTTAAGCTTTCAGGTTTTTAAATAATTATTGTGAATTTGTCTGGAAGAGTAAAGTGATTATCTGATTGGATGACAAAATCAGGTATGGGCACCATTAAACTAGTCATAAACAGTGTATATTATTCCCTTGTGATACATAAGTAATGATTATCCAGGGTACTCTTCAACTTAATTGAGACCTAAATACACAAATTATAATCACGGCAGCATCTGAAATACAAAAATGTGGTCCTGCCATTATTAAAATTAGGCTTTTATGCCGCTCCGTGGTTGCTGGATTTTTCATTTGTTCTTCTACGGTCATCTGTGGTTCCCATAAAATCTTTCTATATTTCTTTTGCAAGTTGTGATTTTGCTATAGGGTAATGATATGTGTCTTTAATATTTCCCCACTTACCATGGGCTGCTAAATTTCCATTTGATCGTTTATGGCCAGTTGTAAATAGTTTTGATTTCCATTCAAATCATATTATAGTTTGTACTGTTGTACTTTACTTTTGTATACACTATTCAGCAAACACAAAAATTAGAATAAGCTGACTATTGCATTTGATTTATGCTTCCACATCTAACAGTTTCTGAAAATTCTAATACAAATTTAACTGATCATCGGCTTTTCCATGAAAAATTCATGGTTGTCTAAACTATAAATCAGGATAGAAAATTAATATTTAAGTTCTTTTGAGCCTTCACTTGGCTTCAATTCTAATGAAATTTCACTCCTATTCGTACAGAGTGACATATGTCTAAATTCAAACATCAATTATCATCTATATACATTTGCCTTTCCCTTTGGAGATAGAATGAGGGAAACAATATCAAGAGAGTTTGGATTTAACGATACTCTAAGAATGGTTAATGATTACCTACTCTTTTGCAAATTAATCACTTGAGTGGTTTTAAATATATGCATTCTTGTATGAGCACCTTGTGAAGTTGGCTAAGCAGTGAGTAGTTTATGATCTGACCAATGAAAGTGGTCCATATATTAGGGAGATGTATCATTATTCTGGTATAAACTTTATTTTTTCTTCTTCTTATTATTTCTTCTTATTATTATAGCTGCAGTTAAAAATCTTATCCGTTGCTTCCATTTTCTGGTATAAAATATCCTTTGTCCTTGCTAAAGATTTCCATTTTCTGTGGCTTAATGAGAAGGAATTTGTTTATTGACATCTTAAAGATTCTAAACATTGTTGGCGCCTTAAGTAGGATCTATGCTGTACAGATACGACTTTGATTCGATGACACATAAATATGGTAAAATTTTAAAATATTAAAACACGGGTATCGAAACATATATTAAGTAAAATATAATTATATTTATGAATGTCATATTGAATATTTTATGATAATCTCGAACATGTCTTTATCAAAAAATAACTTTACAAAAATAAAAAAAAATTCCTATAAATAAAAAAAAATTCTAAAAGCTCTGAAATATCACATTAATAATTAAATAATACAATTATCATAAATAATCATTCCTCAGTCCAAACAATATTTTTTGCATTTTTTTTAAAAAAGATTAAGTATTTACTTAAAATAGCTAAAAAAAGTTTTAAAAAAACTGATTAAGTCGTTTTTGAGTTGTCATGAAATGCTTTTTTGCCAAGGTCAAAACCCGTAAGCCAGTGGGATATGCAGCGGATAAGAATGCAAGTGTGTTATAATGGATACAACTCATACGTGGTGACTTTTGAAGTATCCATGCAACATAGGGTAGGATAATCTATTATGTTTGTAGCACAATTTCATATAATGTATTTGGATTGCGTTTCCTGAAATGTGATTGGTTTCTGCAGATGTTGAAGTTCCAGTTGCTTGCGTAATACTCGTTTTTTTGTTTGCGCTTCAACATTATGGGACGCATAGGATTTTTAGTTGCACCTGTTGTGATGACTTGGTTGCTATGCATCAGTTGTATTGGGGTGTATAATATCGTCCATTGGAACCCACATGTTTATGAAGCTCTCTCTCCATTCTACATGTTCAAATTTCGTAAAAAGACTCAAAGGGGAGGCTGCACAACAAGAAAAAGGGTATTTTGCAAGCGAAAAAATTGGTGGCTAAAATATAAAAATTGGTAGCTAATTTTTTTAGCGATTGAAATAGCCATCGATTAAAATTGATAGCTAATATGTTGGTTGTAAACATATTTAGTGACCGAAAATGCATTCGGTTGCAGAAATTTGAATTTAGCCACCGAAAAATTTAGTCGCTATTTGCCACAACCAAGGTGGTAGCTATTTCGGTTGCTAACTGTGACCTCTTAATTCAGTCGCTAATTGCAAAGCTAAATTTTGATCGCTAATTTCGGTCTCTATTTGTCACCAAGAAGGCAATAGCTATTTGGGTTGCTAACTGTGACCACTTAATTCGCTCGCTAATTGCAACTTCAAATTTCGGTTGCTAATTTGGTTGCTAATTGGTTGTATTCTGGTAGTGGCTAATTCGGTTGCTATTTCATGTCTATCTTTTTCAGTTGCTATTTTGGTGGCTAAATATTATCAAATATTTGGTTGCTAAATTCGGTGACTAAATTTGGTGGCAAACTATAATGAATAATTATACTTTTTTAAAATTATTTTTTTCAATAAGACCTATTTATATAACAAAACATACTTATATAAGACATGATATATAACAAAATCTGCTAATAGTCAAATTTTACAAACATAGTAAAAAAATACATCTAAAGAAGTAAAATGCATTTTACAATCCATAACAATACATATTTCACTCCATAACAAAAGTGTAGCTTATTTTGTAAAAAGGGTACAATCATTGACATAACAAATAGAAAAAGAAAGTCTTAAATCATGAATGCGGATCAATGTCATCATGAGGAGAACCAACATCATCAGCATCAACATGAGAATCATCTATTTGGGTACTAGTAGAAATTCTCAAGTGTTTAACAACTTGTTGGAGAATGATCTCAGTTTTCTATAGTTTTGAATTGGTCCTCCGTAATTCAGACTGCATAGTATCAATGCGTGTGTCCTTTGCTGCTAATTCTGCATTAAGGTTGGCAATGATCTGCTGATAGTTAACGCTAGAACTAGGATCAGACTGAGTACAAGGAGAGGATGATGTCACAAACTCTTCACCCAATTGTCCTAACCCATACACATGACCTTTCTTGTTTTTTCCTCCAACAACTTCTAAAAAAATGGCATTATCAGCAGCTACAGAATGGTCACCTGAGACACATTCTTCACCATGATCATCATTATCATGTGCATGGGCTTCAGCTCGATGTCGAATAAACTAATCCTAAAAAATTAATACTCTTATTAATCATAATTTATAATAAAAGTGAGGCTAAAATTTTTAAAAAGTAATATTTAGAAAGGAATATACTGCAATGTTTTTGGCTTTGTCATTGACCCATTCTCTAGCTTTATTCTTTTTTGTCTTTCCCATTATATCAAATGCTGTGGGAACTCACTTAAGTTGCTCAGTCTGCATAATAATACAAGTGTAAAGTTCCAATGAAGGAAATGATTAAAAAAAAAGATAATTTAAATAATTACCATTCTATCACGATGCATAGCAACAGATATAGAGCCACCGGTGTACAAAGATGCTCCACCATCAACAGCTCTATTTTGTTTAGCAATAGTGCTTTTCTTCTAAAACTGTTCTCCTACCCAATGAGTGTGCAGCTCTTCCTTCACATCAGGAGTGATCCAAAGACTCTTTATCTTTATTCCTTCATAACTTAGACATTATGTTCTTTAAAATCATAGAGCCTTTATGCTCAAAAATAGATCTAATGATAAGATTATGTTAAAAGAGCCATTTGTATGTTTTC